AGATCTCAGGTATGGGGGGAGCCTGGGGCACAAAGGGACACTTTCTTAAGACTACCACCCTGCCCCGGACTCTGTGACTCTGCTCCCTCCTGCCCTGATTGCAGGGCGGGGAGAGAGCGACTAGCTGGAGGTGCCCGGACCCTGTGACTCTGCTCCCTCCTGCCCTGATTGCAGGGCAAGGAGAGGGCGACTAGCTGGAGGTGCCGCTGACTCAGACACCTCCATCCCACCCCTCCTCCATCCCCAGCTTGGTTTCGTGTGAGATTGACAACCAGACCACCAAGCCCCTGGCTGCCAACTTCGTGCTCTGCCCGGCCCTGGAAGAAATCTTGTGAGTGCTTGGGAGAGCCCTGAGCTGGGGAAAGCAGGCATCTGGGGGCTTGGCCGCATGATGTGTAGCCCGGAGCTGGTCCCTTTCTCCCTGGCTGGTCTCCCATCTGTAAATGGGAAGATCATTCTTGCTCAAACCTCTCGAGGCAGTTTTAACACTTGAGCTGTGAGTGCTCTCCGGCAAAGCCATTCAGCCTCTCCTGCCTGTTTCCCACCTGTGGAGTGGCGGGAGGGCGGGAGGACCAGACGGTCTCTAAAGGCCCTTTGCCCCTGACTTTCCCTTTGGGAGGGGCTGGATAGACCACCTCCCCTGGCTTATGGAGCCTCAATTTATGAACCGCCCATTGGTAGTGAAGAGAGGCTGGAGCCACAGGTCCCCCACCTGGCCACCGGCCGGCCCATCGCCCTCTTGGCATTCAGAGGCCCTCAGACGTTGGGGCCTTGCAGGGGTAACCAGACTGTCAGGACTGGTCTGGGCCCCTGACCACGGCATGGAAGAAAAAGCTGTTTCCTAAAGTACGGAATGCAAGTGATTATAAGGATTTTAGGTTTGCATCTTAAAGATTTCAATCCCTCTCAGTACATTACACCAAAGACAAAGTCTCGGATCGGTGCTAACTCTTCTTCGACACCTCATACTGGAGATTTTCTCTTTTTAGCCAGCAGGGGGCAGGCCACAGGCTCACACCTTAGGAAGGACATAGGTTCTGGCTAGAAGTTAATACCGTTGTTTGCACTGTATTTGTCTTTGCAACTACCTTCCATTTAGGATCCTCAACACAGGTTTTCTAATGATAGTAATGATAAATGTTTCCTAAGATTAATTTCCTAAAGTTAAAAAAAAAAGGAAGGGAAGGAGGAAAATATAACACAGATAATGTGGGAGGTGCTTGGATGTGGCAGAAATCGCGATGGAGGCCCAGGCATGGTGGAGGTTTGGACTGTGACCGTGTTTCTGCAGACCATGTGGTCTGAAGTCTCAGGACAGCCAGCTCCTGAGCTGTCTGGGTTCCTGAGGGACAACAGCTCAGGGAAGGGGTTGGGGAGGTGGAAAGAGATACCTGTGCCCTGACAAGTCTTTGGGGGGCATACGAGCCCCCCATCAGGTGGCCTCTCTTGCACCTGCGTGGCTCCACCCCCCAACCATTGGCCCCCAGCCCTCCTCACCCGCCACCTTGTCTCCACCCCTCGACCTCACTGCTCTGCTGCACCTGACCTCGGGCCCCCTACCCTGCAGGCTGTCCTGGAATCTGCTCGGGGACGAGGCGGCTGCCGAGCTGGCCGGGGTCCTGCCGCGGATGGGCCGGCTGAAGAGAGTGGAGTATGAGGGGCACATCCTGGGGAGCCGGAAAGGGGCGGGGAGGCCTGAAGGGGGACCTGCATCCCGGGGAAAGCCAAGAGGCCACTTGGTCAGGCCCCTGCCTCCAGGAAGCCTTCCTTGACTTGCACACTCTGGTCCACTCCAAGCCCCTGGCAAGCTTAGCTCTCCCTGGGTCCCAGCCTTCAGCCTTCCTGCTGTCCTCACCACGAGTCCCCTGTTGTCTGCTGGCTTCTCTGAGCAGATGTGTGGGGATCCCATGTCCCCCCATCTTGTCCTGGGGAAGGGACATAGGGAAGCCCCTCCGACTGTCTCATGCCAGTCTCTCTCTGTCTCCTTCCTCTGCTGTCCACTGGGAAGCTTGGAGAAGAATCGGATCACAGCTCGTGGAGCCTGGCTCCTGGTGGAAGGGCTGGCCCAGGGGTCTAGCATCCAAGTCATCCGGTAACAAGGGCTTGCAGGAGCAGGGACGGTGGGTAGGAGGCCACACCAACCCCTGCAATGTAGGAGGACTCCCTGTAGGAGGAGGCGGGACCTGGGCTGGGGATTATCAAAGGAGACTTGGACCACTCCACCAGCAGTGTGGCAGCAAGCAGACCTGGATCCAATCCCAGCTCTACCATTTGCCAATTGTATAACTTTGCACCAGTAACTCAACCTCTCTGAACCTCAATTTCCTCATCTCTAAAAGGGGGATAATGATAGTATTTACCTCAGAGAGTTTCTGTGAGGACTAAATGATTATATAAAGCACTGAGCACAATGCCTGGCACATCGTAAACACTTAAAATGGTCTCTATAATCAGAGCCACCACATACAGTTGTATAGGTTGTGCACTGAACAAGGGCATCGCATCTAAGCGACACCATTCACATAATACACGTGTTAGATTTCTATAGATGGTGGTGAAGTGTCTTGTTCGATAAAAACCAATATATTATAACAATTACAGATGATGGAAATAGTGTCTTAAAGAAGGGGAACTTTTTCCTTATTTGCGCGAATGTATCATATGACTGTGACCCTGGCTGGGATCACTAGCTCCCTGGGAAGAAGACTGAGTGGGAGAAGTCAGGAGGTGGGTGTAGGGAACACCATCTCCCTACAGTCGCCATACCAGTCTAATACCGCCTCTGCCAGGTAACTCTGGGGACGGCTCTTCCCCTTTGGGGCCTCGGTCCCCCATCTGTAGGCAGGACAGGGGGCAGAGACAAGAGGATGGGGGAGTGGCTCCCAGCGCTGAGTGTCTGTCTCTGTGCCCTGCAGCCTCTGGAATAACCCCATCCCGCCCAGCATGGCCCAGCGTCTGCAGAGCCAGGAGCCCCGGCTGGACTTCGCTTTCTTCCACAACCGGCCACAGGCCCCTCGGGGTACTTGATGGCCCCTCACTGCCCTTCAGATCCAAGTGATGGCAACGTCCATCCGCCCACCAGGACGGAGGACTCAGAGAAGATCCTCGGCTGGGAGTCCCTGCATGCTGCCCCGGGAGGGAGCAGCACGTCTGTCCTGCTGCAGTCTTCAGGGAGGACTTTCTTTGGAGACCAGAAGACTCGTATGGCCAATGGACTACTCTGCGTCACATGTGACATGCATGACCAGTTGGGGACATGTGGCACAGTGAGGGTGTCATGATGTGATGCGTGACGCAGAAGGTCACATGTGGCAGAGTGGACTGTGGGTCAATGGTGTGGGTCCTAGCTCCACACGTGGCAGGACACGTGATTGGTGATTCATATATGACATGTGACAAATGTCCATGTCATATGACACGGGGCTGGCCAGATGCCCTCAGCTGGTCCAAGATCTAATTTATTACTTTTTTAAACCCAAGTTTGTATTTATAGATCGCATTCCAGAGCAGCTCAGCCAAAGACTGTCTTCCGCCCAGAACTGGGATGGGGAGAGTGTCCAAGCACTGACTGGCCCAGTGGCCTGAGGACCAGGCTCTGGGCCAACTTGAAGACTAAGCCATGAGGCTTTTGGATGCATCTCCTCCTGCCTCAAACCTCAGTCTTCCCACCTGTAAACTGCATGACCCCCGCCCCCCTTAAATGGCTTCCAAGGACTTGGGGCCCAGGTCCAGGTAGAGCTAGTCTGCCCTTGGGAGTGGACGGGCCCAGTCTGTCCTGTGTAAGGGACAAAGCCGGGTCTAACGGGGCGGGGGTGGGGGGATGGGGGTGCACTGCCAAGATAGTCAGGCAAGGCCACTGGGCCCAGCCACTACCTCAGCGAGAGCCGGGGGAGCTCCCGCGGCTGCACGTGTTACGGTGTTTTCGTTAGTTCCAAGAGGGCCCAGATGGCCCTGCTACACTGCAAGCCAAGTTTGACCAATAAATGTGGATGGTCTCCGAGCCTCTAGCCTGAGTCTGTGTGTCCCAGCACCTCGCTGAAGTCGGAGGTGGCTCAGCCCCTGCCCCAGGGACTGGAGAGCAGGGCAGACCACAGAGACGTGCATGAGAACAGCACTGGCCTGGGAGTCAAGAGCCATGGGGCCGAGTCCAGACTCCGCCTCTATATGGTTATGTGATGGTGGGCAAGTCGCCTCCTCTCTCTGGACCTCCCCTGCACCACGAGGGTGTTACAGAAGCTCAACGTGTTAGAAACAGTCTTTGTTTGACTTGCATTATATTTCAACTCTCTTCTGTATTAATCATTGATATTTAAAATTGGGAACTTTTACATAAAAATCCAGATTTTCTGAGCCAGCCCCGATGGTCTAGTGGTTAAAGTTCTGCACTCTCCACCTCGGCGGCCTGGGTTCATTTCCCGGGCACGGAACACACCACCCGTCTGTCAGTAGCCGTGCTGTGGCAGCGGCTCACATAGAAGAGCTAGAAGGACTTAAACTAGGATATACAACTATGTACTGAGGCTTTGGGGAGGGAAAAAAAAAAAAAGAGGACGATTGGCAACAGCTATTAGCTCACGGTGAATCCTTCCCTGCCAAAAAAAAAAAAAATAACTGCTCCCCCAAGGGGTACATCATTTAAAAAAAAAGATCCAGACTTCCAGCTTCTCTCAAGTGCTAGTCCAGCATCCTCACTCAAGAGTAATTTGCTGGCGCCATATGACTGTGCCCTTTGGATGTGGCACACATCCCTTATTTTTCTGCAGTCTCCACCACCCCCCAATGATTCCCCTCCCATTTGCTGCTTGCCTGGTCCTTCCGAGAGCCTGGGAACTCCTGGCCTAGAGGGTTTCCACAGGTGGGTGGTACATTAGGAATATGGCTTTAGAAGTCAGATGGGCAGGGAATGGACTATGACTTGACCCCTTGCTGCCTGTCTCCAAGGCTAGGAACTGTTTCTGTACATGAGTTAGTCACACCCCCTAGCCCCAGGACTTTTGGAGGGATCGGGGAAGCAAGGTGTCAAAGTGCCCCGTATGAAGAAGTAGGTACTGGTTACATGCTAGTTCCCGTTCCCTGTTAGGGTTGATATCAGATGAGGTGGAGAGATGCTGAAATGACCGGAGAACAGTCCCCCTCTCCATCACTTGCCTGTGGGCTGAACAAGGGGACCCTTCCTCCACAGCTGCACCCCATTGTGAAAAGTGGGGCAGGGAGGGTGCAGTTACAGCCGAGCACCACTGGAGGGCAGGCTGGCCCACCGGCGACTCCTGAGACAGCTTCCTCCTTACTGGACCCAGAAGGAAGTTAGGAGATGTGCTGGGGCTGTTCCCACCTGGCCTAGGAGCCTGGGATGTCCCAGCCTGACTAGTGGCTCACCTGGACGGCTCGGCCCTGACCTTTGCCCCCCTCCAGGTTATCCCCAGTCCCCCGCCAAGCACAAGGAGAAAGTCCTCTGGCTAAGTGCCAAGCACTCACACCCAGCACAGCAACACTCTCATCAGGCCAGGGTCAGGGCACACCTGGCCCTGAGTGGGGCCATCAGCCTGGTCCTGGGGGACAGGATGGGCAGGTAGAGGATCCAGGAAGTTTACCTGGAAAACTTGAGCCCAAAATTCTGTCTCCCCTTCCTGGGCAATGACGCCAAGTTGACCCTGGGCCCTCAGCTTCATCTTCACACCGAGGGGCTTGGACTGCCTCCTCTCCTTGCCCGAGCCTGGACTATGAGTCCCTCCAAGCCTGGAGACGCCTTGACTAGGGAAGTCACGGCTGAGGAAGGAACAGTGCACTGACCAGAAGCTCCAGGCCAGGGGACGCACACGCCGAGCAGAGCCCAGAGCTCAGGGAGGCTCCTCGTTGGCTGCGTATTCATGTTACTTTCCCCTTCTCTTCCTTTCCCTTAAGCTCTGCCCAGGTTCTAAACTCCAAGAAACTTTCAGCAGCTGCCCTGAAATAAACCACAGTATTGTCGGCGCTGCAGAGCTGGCGGGGCCCACGTCAGGTTGGGGTGCACTCACCTTGTTCATTTTATTAAGAAACTTTCTCTCCTGCCAACTGCTTCTTTGGAGACCAGGACAGGAGGACTATTTTTCTATCCAACACTGATGAGGTCCAGTCTCCCCACCCCCTTCCTCCCAAAAGTAGGCTCCGTTTAAATACATACATGAAAACAAATAAAATCCAAACAAATGTAATGCTACAGGCCAGTAAGCAGTGGAATCAGAAGGATGCTCCCAGTTTCTGCACATGAGTCTTCACACTAAGAATGTGACCTGGCTGGTAAGTACCATGTCTATCTTCAAGACTGGGGTAAGTTCATTTTTTTTTTCTCTTTAATGTTGCTGGGTAATTCATAACTTTTATTTTTATTGAGGTAACATTGGTTTATAACATTGTATAAATTTCAGGTGTACATCATTATACTTCTATTTCTGCATAGATTACATCACGTTCACCACTCAAAAACTAATTACAATCCATCACTACACACATGTGCCTAATCATCCCTTTCGCCCTCCTCCCTCCCCTCTTCCCCTCTGGTAACCACCAATCCAATCTCTGTCTCTGTGTGTTTGTTTGTTGTTGTTTTTATAGTCTACTTATGGGTGAGATCATATGGTATTTGACCTTCTTCCTCTGA